AAAGCTGTTCAAAAGCCCACTGAATTACCAACTCTTGACTGCTGAGACATTTGTGCTAAAAATAAGTGAGAAAGTCGTGATCAGGGTCAATGTTTAAGTCATAAATCAGTTGCAATAGTGTGTTGGGGGTGGAGGAAGGATAGTTTCTTTACAAGTTCTGCTTCGCCGTTAAAAATCCGTATTTTTAACATGGCCCAAAAGCCTGAGGATGGAAACTGTTGTGGAATTTGGGAATGGGGCCAGAAAGCACAAAGCAGAGTCCTAGGGAGACTTACCTGGTCAGCTGCCAAGACGACCTGATGATGGTTTGTCCTGATGTCTTGTGGGACCCATCTCAGGACTGATTATCTGCAATGTTCACCTGAGCAGTTCACGTATATGGACACTTACTAATCTTCTAGTCCTAATTTTAAGTAATGGACTTTCAATCTATGTTCAATCTATGGACTATCAATCATTTGTTCACCTGTTGCGAACATCCTCAAGCTTTTGTTGAACTTGACACACACTGTTCAGTCAGTTGAAGCTTTTATTGAAGATCTGAGCCTCGTGATTGAAGAAGGCAACACAACAGACTTAAAGGTTTGGTCCCTAATTTTTAAAATCCTCTTGACCAATGAGTTCATGGTTTAAGTTAGGTATCTTCATACTGTATTCTGACGATTGAGGTTTTGGGAAGTGACTCAGGTATCATGGAGGATGAGGTGAGATTAGATTCTGTGGCAGGTGCTGTGTTGTGCAGCTTAGATCTGCCTGATGGATGCAGAGGATTTATTCTGATAGCTGCTTAGAGCAGTACTCAGAGAAAACCTGTCAGCCATTTTTGGGAATTGATTTTGGTTGAGGAGAATTCTCTTGTCCCAGCATGGGTCAAACCTGACAGGCCATCCCAGTTTGAGAGAACTCCATGGAGTTGCTGAGACCTTACTGGGACTGGATTGCAGTACTCCCTCTGCCCAACCCTGCTTCATTTCCTGCACTCATGTGTGTGGATCCCAAGCAATCTCTACTACTACTCTATTCCAATTTCACCTCAGCTTCTGCTTCAAGGGAACTCAACCTACAGCCAAATCAACTAGAGCAACTTTGATTTTATCATTTCTATTTGTCAGATATTCTATTAAAGCAAAGATTCCACTTACAGCAAACCAAATTAAAAGCCTTTGAAAATCACCGGTCTCACAATTACACACTTCATATTGTGTATAATAATTGCTTCACTTGATATGAAAAACCATCAAGGTTTTGTGCCAGACCAATTTATTTTAGTTAATCTTTCCAAACCAACATCTAAGGAATGTGTTTCCCTGGTGTGTTTCTTCTTCTTCTTCTTCTCTTTTTTTTTTTTTTTTGTATGTTTCGTTTACATGAGTGCTTTGTGTCTGTTATAACAGAAAATACATTAAATAATAAAATGATGTATATTTTTAATATTACAGATGTAATCCAGGAATATAACAGAAGCAATGAGACATCTCATGAGTCAGTAGATGGCACATATTCTAAAATATGATGGAATTTTTAAGTATTCTACCTTGCCCCCCTCAAAAAATCACTAATATCGTGCCTTAAACTGTGATACTAATTATATTGTACAGTATATAGAATTTTCTTTCTTAACAAAATCTCACATCATTTAGCCTCATATAAGGCAGGAGTGAATCAATAATGAAAAAGGCCACTGGTCTCATAAGTCACTGTATTCTGTGGTGCTTTAGGAAACTAGCAAGGAAATTTCCAAATAAGTTGCTTGAAGACTGAATGACAAAATGTTAACTGCTGAAAAGATTACTCAACTCTAATAAGCATATGAATTATTATACTCTGGATCTTAGCAGGCTCCTGCAGAGTTTACTCAATAATGCTAACGTACACACCAGTCAAAGCCACAGAAAGAAGAAGTTCAGTTTGGACCGCTGAGGTGTTTTTCTTTCTTTCTTTTTTTTAACTTTAATAATAATAGTAACAACAACAATGCCTTTATTACCTTTCTAACTTTTACCCAGAGGTTGATCTTCATCTTGATGGTGTATTGCCTGGGAAGCCACAGATGTCAGCCAGTGGGGTTTCCTGTTCCAGCGACAGCATGAGGAAAGCAGACAAGCTGTATTCACTCGCAGATGTGTTGCTGCTTTGGCCAAACCTGCAGTGGCAGCAATAAACTGCTAAGTAGAACCCCATATAAGGAGTCATAACAGAGTCTCAGAATGCAGATTTGTGAAAGAGTATTATTTATTAGAAAGATAACAAAGTACTTTACGTACATGTTATTTAACATACATGATCTGGGCTCCTACAATATTCTAACAACTTATTGTGGAGCCTAAAATACTTGAGAATTCCTGTTCACAACTCCTGGTATCATAAAAAATTAAAACTTAGTAGATAAAGATCTGTTGAAAAATACTGGAAAGATAAGATATTTAGGTAGCAGCAGTGACCATATGTTTTCTAAAATATACTTTATGGGGAAATAGTGATTCAGCCAACCACAGCACTGAAAATTAATTGTCTCCTAAAAAAGTGAGTGTATAGTGGAAATACTGTATACGTATGTAAATTACAGCAATGTTTTTCCATCAAAAGTGAACAAACTATAAATGACATATACGTCAGTTCATTCTATTTATGCACAATAAGCGTATCTTTAGAATCAAAGAACTCAGAAGTATGACTCCAGATTTTCTTTGTTAATGCACTCTAGGGAAAGCATGAGTAAGTGGAGCTTATTTATTCATTTTGAGCACATATCATGCTCCTGCCATGGTAGGCAGTGCAATTCTCAACAAAATAGACATATTCTCTGCCCTTGTGAACCATGTCATCTAGTGCAAGAACCTGACAAATGAACTATGACAATAGAGAATGTTAAGTGCCGATCGGGGAAGTCAGGGTTCTCCAAAAAAAAAAAAAACACAAGAGGTACCAAAACGGATGTCAGGCATAAGAGAAATTTTCCTTGGTGAAATGCTGTCTAAATTGAGGCTTCTGTATTGTGGAGATGTTGGTCAGTTTGGTCAGGAGGAGTTAAAGGGAAAAGATAAAGCATGTGCAGAGTTCTGGAAGTGAGAAGTATATCTCTCTCAAAGAGTGAAAAAGAAAAAAATACATTGAATCTGAGTTTTGGAGAGGGAGGTAGTAACACAGGAAGAGGAATTGTGCAAGAACCAGTTCATGATGCTCCTGCTAAACGTAATAAGCGTAAAGCCTTTGTCATAATGGCAACAGGAAGTCACTGACGTTTTGGTCGAGGAGATCAAAATGGCCTGTCTAAAAATAAATGAAGGCCCGCAGACAACATGGGATTCTGAGCTAGCAATCTAGGAAAGATGATGGTGGTGTGAACTAAGATAATACTGGGAATACACAGAAATAGCAGCACTGGACTTGAGGGAGTAAGCTAGATGGGTCTTGGTGATTGGTCCTATGTGGGCAGTGTAGGAAATATCCATTTTTTGGATATTGAATTTGATGTGCAAATGTCTTGGGAGGCAGCTGAATAAGTGGGTCTTTTAAGTCTGTTTGGTGCTCTGAACTGAGTGCAGACTGGAAAGTTGTCAGTATGAAATATAAGTGGGGCCATGGGAGTGCTGATGTTGTCCATGTAAAGCGATAAGAAAACAGGCTGCTGGACAGGACCTCAGAGAACACCAAAACTAAGGATTGGGCAGGGGAATAGGAGTTTCCGAATACCCTAAGTCTATCAATAATCCTATTTGTATTTTAGTTTATCTTTGTGTTTCAGTCTACATTCACCTTAGACAAGTCTGTTAGCAGAAGTACTAACAGATATGAAGTCTAATTTGAGTTTTTCTCTTCTTTCACCTTGTAAAGTCATGAATCAGCAACAAAAACATTTTAAATAACCCGAAATCAAGAAAAACTTATAAAATTAACTGTTAAAGTTAATCTACAAACAAACAGTCCTTGGTCACTCAATACCTAGCTCTGCCTTTTTGGGGCTTGCTATTTACAATCGACCTTTACTTATATTGCAATTTGCTCCATCAATTCTGTAACTATTGCCCATTTCCTGATCATCTTTAATGGTAGTCTTTAATGGATCTACAGCTCAGTGAGAGCCCAAGGAGATTTTCTGTGATCAGAACATGATTACATAGAGATGTTGGTCAGATGATAACTATAATCTGTAATTTCCATGTGCAGGAGAACCAAATGCAGTTTTGGATTGGGCCATGGGGATTTGCCCCAATGTGCTTCCTTTTACAATTGTAGGAGAAGAATAATAAGGGGGTTTCTAGAGTGGCTACTCAGTGGTATGCTAACATCAGGCTCGCAGAAGACAGCCCTGACTTGTGCTTGACAAGTTTCATAGTGTAAATACATCCACCAGAGCCAGTTTCAAGCAACCAACTTGAAGTCACTGAAGACAGACCAGGGGGAAAATGTACCCACCTGCTCTTGCAAGCCAGTGCAAGCTGGCTCCTTTACAGGACTGGGTGTAGGAAAGGGAGGTCAGCTAAAGGTATGAGAGGGCTGGATTCAAAATACTCAGTTTTTACTTCAAGGAAACTTGACTTACTCATCTATACTCTGTTTATTCATTGCTCTTGACCTTTTTCCTTTTGCTTGAGGGCTGGCGGTATTAGTGATGTATACCTTAACAATCTAATAACCTTAGCATTGTGACTTCTATATGTTTATTCACCAGCAATAAACATAACAAACACAAAACCCAGCATGGGTCAAACCTGACGGGCCATCCCAGTTTGAGAGAACTCCATGGAGTTGCTGAGACCTTACTGGGACTGGATTGCAGAACTCCCTCTGCCCAACCCTGCTTCATTTCCTGCACTCATAGGTGTGGATCCCAAGCAATCTCTACTACTCACTCTATTCCAATTTCATTTCAGATTGTATCTGAGACTGAGTGGTTCAGAGTAATTTCGGTCTAATTCCTTATCCAGGAGCCAAAGAAATGATCATTTTCTTTTCATTTCAGGATATAGATATCTATAGTTTAACATAATTTATAAATGAAAATATTTTATTCCTTTCAAATAAGCAAAACTTGCTTTTTTTCCCTATCAAAGCAAAAAGTTTGATGGTATACTACTCTAGCCAATAATATATGTAGAAAGAACAGCAGCAAAATACCTCTCTTCTTTATATGATTTAATATATATCCTGTTAACAGCAGCAAACAGATACATGTAACTAGCAGTGCACTAAATAACTACTATTCAAACTTACTTTAAAATAATCTCAACATTAGGGACTGGTGGGATCAGAGCTGTTACCGTGCACATTTGTCTCTTTTATATTGGAAAGGGAAATTAAAACTCCCTGTAGCATTAAAGAATGCACTTTTTAATATTTAAGGCAGATATTCATTTATAATCTTTTGAAAAAAGATTTATTTATTTATGCATACAAGAACTGGGGCACAGTCCAGAGGTGGGGTTCGGGGTGGTGAGAGGATTCACCAAAGACAGGCAGATGTACTGAAATATACTGCTGAGGGGAGCAGCGAGCATGTCAATAGAGGTCTGCTGCGCCATGTGGGCATCTCCCTGGCTGGGGATCGAACTCGTGATGCAGTGGCTGCCGATAGCTTCATAAGTTGCATCTTAACCCCTTGCGCCACCAGGCCCCATTTGTAATCTTATGACTTCCATTGAAAGGTCTCAATTCTTCTGTACACAAATGAAGACACCTTTTCAAGTAAGCTGGCCTTATGCCAACTTTAAAAAGGTTACTGTAGAAATATTGTAAACCCAATAAAAACACGTATAAAGTCTTTAAGTGAAGCTTTAATGGGTCTCTATTTCTACAAATATATAATACTCTTGAGTGCCTTCTCGCTGGTAATTTGTTTAGGATTATTTGATTTTAGAAATCTGAATTGAACATTTTTTGGTTAATTTTTGACTATAGAATGGAAGACATTGAGAAATTATGGAATAAATTTTTAAAAGAGAGATTGGGAAAAAATCTTCACTAAGTGAAATAGTAAACACTTGACATTCTAGTTATTACTCCGCCAAAGATAAATGTGCCCCATCGTTCCATTTACCTCTTATATGACCATAATTTTTATATGATTATCTTAACCACCTCTCCTTTGTCTGTTGTAGAAAGTCTTTAAGACAAAAGTGTGAAAATTTTAAGTTCTCCAAGAAATTCCAAAAATTCACTAAGCCATTTTCCATTTTAAAAGTGTATTTAAAGGAACACTTATTTTAATATAAAACCCAAAGTGCTGAATTAAAACATATTTAGTAACATGGCTGACCAACTACTGACATGGTTTTAGCCTTCCAGGAATATTATTACAATTGGCTGGTAAGTTCCAAATTTAAGCATTTGGTTTCACATAGTAATAATACTTTACTTTCCAATATAGGTATTAAAGAAAATGAACACATCTTTTTCTTAAAAGAATAGTAAAGTATTTCAGCCATAATACAAATCAATTTTTGAGGAAAAAAATTCCTGCCAAGACAAGAAATAAATTTTTTAAATCTTAGAATTGTTATAAAAGAACTATAAAATGTAAATTTTTGAAAAAAGAAATACATGTCCCTCAGGAAAAAATATGCAACTTCTTTGACACAATAAAATAAACCATTACCATAGGGTGCGGCCAACTATGGAACTGGCTTATCAGACTTCAAAAGTTCTCAAAAAGAATTAGCACCAAAATTGTCTAAAACTTCAAATAATATACTCAATTGATTCCAGGCCCAAGTGTTACATTATAAAAATGTTCATTTAACTTGGGAAGTTTCCTTAGCAGTCATAAATATATATATATAGCTTTTCTTTAGAAAAATGTATCACCTTTATTTTTTTCAAAATATTAAGGTAGTATAGAGTAGTATCATTTATACTATTTGAAGTGAGCAGGAACAATAGAAATCCAAAAATTCCCCAAATTATATTGGATTATTTGGTGGGTTCTTCAATTAGATCCCCAGTCATTCTAAAATGTTTCATTAGAGCTCTTTCCAAGACCAATATTGTCCAATTTGAAATCCATATTTTGTTATTTTTCCTGCTCACTGTTTGGTGGTGTTATTTAAACTTTGGCCTGGGAACTAGGGGGCTTTAAAAATGGGCACAGATCACAGTGGTAAAACAAGAGTTTTGAATAAGCTACAAAATGTATATTAAACCCTGTTATAATCAAGAATTGAGTTTAATTTTAAACAACATCCACTTAAAAATTTCGTTACAAAACAGCACACAATTTGAAACAAGGCAAATTTTTCGGCTTTCATGTAATGCAATATATAACTTCACCAATTACATCTATGGCAACCAAATGTCAAACAACAGTTCATCCGGCCAGATTTTACTGTTGCACATAAATAATGACTAGGCAGAGAACAGCAACTAGTCCAAGGGCTTGCAGGCCAAGGAACCACAACATAAGCCAGAAGAAAATGACTATTACTGGTTCCACAATTCTTTCTCCAAAATACATCCGTGTGAAGCCCATGTTGAGGAGGTTTTTATTCAGTTCGCCAAAGAGTGTTCCCATCTTTTTATAGTGATCTCCATTAGGCTCTCCAGGGTGGTTTTGTATATCTTCATTATCCTTAAAAAAAAAAAAAATAAAAATAAAAATAAACATAAAATTGAAATAGGTGAAGGTTTTCTTTAAATTCTTTATTTTCCAAAGTACTGGGCATACTTTTGATGACCGCTCAATACATTCTTGGGATTATTCCTTTTGATTAACATATAAAATACCTGTGTCTGTACCCACCTTTCGAGACTCTAGAAAGCACTGATGTATTGATTTCTGTGGAATAAATACTGACTGGGCCCTGTCAGAGGGGGGGAAATTTCTCCCTAAACCCTGTGTTCTTTTGGCTGGTTGAATAATTAAATTCACACAAGGCAAATTAACAAGAAAGAAGGACAAATTTAATGTTGTATGCACAGAGGTTCATGGGTATGGGGCCTATGAAATGACCAAAACAGGCAATTTATATACATTTTGCAGAAAAAAAAATACACTTGTGAGGAATTGATGGCACAATGTTCAAAACACTTAAGGTATGAACATTAATTTAGTGTGGGACTCAGAAGAGTTTATTTATATCGGCTAAAGAGACCCTGAATTCCTTCTCTGTAGTGAGAAGAATAGCTTTCCATCTGCTGGTGCAGGAGGGTACCTTTCACAAAGATGATGCATTTCCTGCTTTCATGGAAAACAGAGGGTCAGTATCATTCTTGCATTGACTAAACTGTCAAGTAATTTTAATTCAAAATAGTCAATAAGCCACTTTAGCACATCTTGTGGTGCCCTGCCCTGAACTCCAACAACCCCAATTACCAAATACTGATTTACAAGAGGAAGGAAGGAGCAGATTAATTTCCGTTCATTTTTTAGTTTCCTGGCATGACACAAAGACAAGTGCTTAAATGAAGATGTCTGTATTACTCTTATCATTTGCTATGATTTTTTAGTATTTCTCTGCTAACTTTCTGGTTTGGAGCAGTGCTCCAGATTGCTCTGTCCCAGTAAGTAAGCTGCTTTTTAATCTGTTCCTTTGACACTAAGACTTTAAAGAACCTAGATGCAGCTGACTAGAACATGTCTTGGTGCTATCGTTGAGCAGTCCTTAGCCATTACTACTGTGATCCTATGGTCTTAGCTTAGCTAAGAAGACTGCAGTGTAAACCCTGACATAATGGTCTTCCAAGTTCTACAGATGTCCTAAATGCGTCTAATGAATCTCATTAGGAGATTCAAATAGGAACAATTTGTACAATTAGCCTAAAACTCAACTGGAAAGTTTCCTAGAGCATGTTCATGCATACCCAATTACATATAACCCAAAATATTTATTATTTCTATTGCCTCCCAGCCTTATCACAATTAAGGCCTTCATGCCAGTTGTTAAGCTACTGTCCGTCAGCTTCAAATTGATCCTTTGGGACTCTGCAAACATTCTACCTCCCTGTTGGGCTCTGCCAGTAGACACTCAGACACTGTACGGCTTGAGAAGAAGGAAGGAGTTTGTTCTTCTGGTGGTTATTTTGATCCTGTTCCTCTTAACCTTGCAACAGTTCTTCAGGGTGGCAGTTCCTTTCAGAAGCAGCCATTGATTTAAATTTGGAGGTTTTCCAATCCTTGCAGAACCATTCTCAATATGCCTTCTTGAGACGCCAGATCTGAGTCATACATGGGTGCCGCTTCCTCAGATGTCTTATGAAAGACACCAGCATCAGGTTCTTGGAAGAGTGAGTTTCAGCCTTACAGGGCCTTTCCCCAATCTTCTGTTTTAGTAACCCCACCTCTTTGCAGCCCTCTTTGCTTCCACTTTGCTGCCATAACTGGTCCTTTAGCACACTTTTTGTGCAGAGGTTTTTAAACATTAGCATAAATTAGAATCCCTGGGAAGGCTTATTAAAGCAGTTTGCTGAGCCCACCACCAGGGCTTCTGATTCTGTAAGCAGAGGGCAGGGCTTCACAATCTGAGCCTTTGTATTTCTTACAAGTTTCCAGGTAATGCTTAGGATGCTGGTCTGGTGACCATCATTTGAAAATCATTGCTTTCTAATCTCTTTCTGCCTCTCTGTTCATCAATGGCCAGTTAGCAATTCTTAAAATTAAATTAACGATTTTTTCCCTTTATTAATATAACTAGTATTAGTCCTCTTTACTAGACCCTAATACAGTCAGAAAAGAAAAATTATCACTTAGGTGGCAGACTTGTAAATGATTATTTATTAAACCTAATCTCTTTTAGGAGTTCATGATTCAAATCAGCAATATTTATGGAACACCAGCTTCCTCATAGTAGATGCAAGATGGAGAAATACTCATACATTAAATAAGTCTAGGTCTAGGGTATCATATAATGACAAAAAATAAATACCATTAAGTAGGCAGTTGAGGCCAAAGGAAATTTGGTTAGCTTAAATAAGGGGAAAAAAGATCACTGCCCAAAAGAGTGCATGAATTTGAGGAAGTTTTGAGGCACTGTTCAAACACATGATTCAAATTGAGATTTCTTTAGTAGAAACCAGAGCTTGACCATTTCAGTCATGAATAAAAGAATAAAAATATTTTCATTTAAACTTACCTTATTCTACTCTACTTATACAGTTTAAAATGCATATACTAAAGGGAAGAGAGTTAAAAAACTAAATTTTATTTAAAATGATCAGCTTTTTGATGTCACTTTATGATGGTCTTTTACCATATAAAGGAATTTATCCAGAGCCTGGTGTCATTGATGAAGTGTTGGAAAAATGAGACTCATGGGGGCATTATTGTCTATATTATAAGTTTAAGTCAGAATTATTTTTGAGTTAAATTTACATATAATTTTGAAAATTACCTTTGGATTTTTTTCCATGATTAAAAAGAGTGGGAAAAACAAAATGCTGCAGAAATATTTAGGGAGTATAAATTCAGGCTTTAGCGCCTTAAATTAATTGAGTGATCTTGACCAAATTACTTCACTTTTCTGAGTTTTCAGTTTTCTAATTCATAAAATGGTTTTATGTGATCCCTTTTGACAATGATAACTTCTCTTGAATTATAATTTGCTTGCTAGCCTTTTCATATTCTAAGCTCTAACATATTTTTTCCTTCTCTGATGAGCTGTGATTGGGTCAATTTAAAAAAAAATTATTTATACAAGAGCCAGGATATAGGCCAGATGCGCGGGAGGATGAGAGGATTCACCAGAGACAGAGCAGGGAACAGAACAGGCAGACTGACTGAAATACACTGCTGAGGGGAGCAGCGGGCAAGACAGGAGAGGTCTGCCGCGCCATGTGGGATTCTCGCCAGCTGGCCAGGATTGAACCGGCACTGCAGAGGCTGTGGGCAGCTTCACAGCGGGCGCTCAACCGCCTGCGCCACCAGGGAGGGCCGATTGGGTCAATTTTTATTTATCGGCGTCCCATACTTTTATTTGTTTCATGATAGAGTATTATATTTAAGAAAAAAAATTTGAATCTTGTTTTCGCCTGAGGTTAAGCCGTTCTTTTCCTAAGGACAGGATATGAAGAGTCCATGATGGTTTGTAATTCCCCAGGTTTCTCATCCCTCTATACTCCTCCAGTATCTAGCACTGCTGATAACATTTGTGGTCTATTTTTTCTTTCTTTTTTTAAATTAAAGTTTCTTTTTCTCTTTTACTCTTTCCAGTTTCCTTTAATTTGTGTGCTCATTGTATTTTGGGGTTTTCTGTTGTTACCGAAACTTCTAAAAACTTTTTTTTCAGTATTTTTGTGGTTGCAGTACAAAGAAAGTACCCTATTCTCACATGGTTCTCTCTGAAAATTTACTTTAAATTCTTTTACAAACTGCCTGTGGGTTTTTCAGGGAAAAAAGTAGGTGTGGCAACACCCAAATCTAAAGAAAATTACTTAGGTCCTACAGACCAAGTTGGGAGGCAGCAGTAGATCATGTCATCTGGGATGCTGGGAATCGGAGGTGGAAGACCCAGGAAGGCCTGGTCTGAGCAAGCTGTGACTGCTGCAGCCTGCTGCTTCTGGTTTTTTGTTTGTTTGTTTATTTGTTTTTAATATGAAAAATATCAAGCACACACAAAATTAGAGATACCTGTCAACCAGAGCCAATAATTATTCATTGTGCGATTTATTATAGCACTTCTTAATCTGATAAATCTAAAGGAGAGAAAAAAAGTAAACTCACCAGAAGAATGGCTAAAAGTGGCATATCTTCACAAATGAAGTTAGTTGTGTGGAAACATCAAAGATATCTAGCAATGTAGTAGAAAGAACCCTAAGGGAAAGACATGTTGGAACACAGGAGAGAAAACATCTGGCATCCTTACATTGGTGAGATCACAGTCAATCTCATTAGTGTTTTCTGTGTCCAGGAAATTTCCCCAAACACATTTCTAAGAGGTACAAAGAAATACCAGTAGGCTTGGTGAGGGTGGGGATAGACCTCTTATTTGCATAGTCTGCCAAGTCTATAGATTTTTCCAAGTTCTATAATGCTTCCACTCTTCACTGTGGCCAATTTCAAGGTACTTATAAACAGCTCACAAGGTTTCTGCAAATTTAACAACTGCCTCCTGAGGTTTGATAGCAGCTGGCCCCAGTACTCCACTGTGGGTACAGTAGTTGAGAGAAAGACCTGCCTGGCTATAATTGATGGGTATGATCTCTTTTTCCCACCAATAAGTGCATTTTTAAGAGGTTTTAAAAAATGTAAGTTTGGAAAAGCAACAGGTTGGGATAATTAAATCAAAATATTGTATCACAATATATTGAAACTAGGAAAATTGTATTAATAAAGAAACATTATGACTTGAGCTGCAGATATGGTTAGATAAAATGAAATTAAATACAGTTCATGCTACGAAACTACCACAGGTAAGTAAAAGCATTGTTTGTTTTTCTGGTTTATCTGATAAAGAGGTCAAATGTGCATCCAATTCAATACTCTAGTTCTTATTTATAAGAAAATTTAAACTGCTTGGATGTTTGTGAGGAAGTAGTACTCTTTCTATGTTTCCTAGATCTGTAAATGGCACCCCATCCTTATGCCAGATCCAAAGGCCAGAAACCCGAGGCTCCACCCTCTCCCCCATCCAGTTT